GTATGCTCAATATGGTAGAAACTGATAGTTACACTGACAAAATATACCGTGTTTGCAAAAATTAAATGTTTACATATGCATTTTTAGCACTGTCTAAAAAATGATAATTGCATTCTTGTAACAGTATAATTTCCTGAAACAATTACCTGTTTGTTCCCAGGTGGGTTTATTATGTGTGTTCGGGTAAGGTGCCTATTTTTAAAAATTTGGCTTAATGATCCTAAAAGAAAATAGTTATTTCCTTCTCTAGTTGGCTCCATCCTCCAAGGGTAGGTGTGATATCATAGGAATACAGCACGCTGAGATAGATGTCTCAGAAAGAGGTGCCTACTTATTAATGACTTTGGATGACTTTCAAAGACATAATAAGCCACTATACAGTTTACATCAATTAAGTATTGAATGTCTCCACCTAGATGGTACCCCAGGCACATGTCAGTGGTTGTTAACTTGTTCAGGTTACATTAATGTAGCATCCAATTCCACAACACTATAATGGAGGTTTATTAGATTTATTCTACCATAGTCCAGATACCTATATATTAGGACTGTGTGAAGCTTCGATCACTGATTTGATTTGGTGGAGATTCGGCCTGATTCCACTGCTGAATCTCTGAATCCAAATTGAATCAGGAGACCCTTTAATCTGGCTAAATTGAATTGGACGCCTCCAAATCAAGTCAGAGAGCTTTGGAGAGATTTGATGATTTGGACATAGACACAGCTTTAAATGTTTTTTCTACATACCTCAAGGTACCAGGAGGCTCCTTAATGCTGAGAAGATGGGGTGGATGGAGCATTTCATGGGAGTGTGGAGGGTCCCCAGCGTGCTCAGCAGTGGACCCAGAAGTGGAACAGAAGCACTTCCAGTCTGCTTCTGGGCCTGCTGGGGAGTGTGTGGGGGAATCCCCCTCTGCCCCCTGGCTCAGTGACTGGTGCCTCCTGGGTCTGAGGTGGGAGGCACCTGGGGTCCCCCCCCCCCACGCTCTACAGCAGGCCCAGAAGTGGACTGAAAAAACTTCTGGCCCACTTCTGGGTCTTCCACCAAGTGTGTAGGGCCCGCCCCACCCCATGCTCCTGTGGCATGCTCCATCCACCCCACCATCACCACACCGCACCTCAAGGTATGTAGAAAAAATCTTTAAAGCTGTGTCTGTGGCTGAATCACCAATTCTCTGAATCAGCATCGAATCTTCAGACTTGGATTTGGCTGAATCAAATCAGGGACAGCGATCCGAATAAAAAAAATCAAATCGTTGCCCTTGATTCAGGCCAAACACAAATCCAAGTCAAATATGACCCGTTTTGCACAGCCCTGCTAAGTATCCAGATGTCTTATGTGCCTTTCATAACCTCAGTGACCCTGGCTGTCTTTTCACTATCAGTGCCATCATTAAACAACAAAAGCACTGATAATAGGGTTATCATGGCCTGGTTACTCCTGTTCAAAATATTTCACTATCACAGAAACAAAACCTAACTTTTAGTTATGTATTTCCTTGTATAATTCTCATAGAAAGAAAACAATAATGTGTTAACAAAATTAACTCAGTTAAATAAAATTTCACTAAAATGATATGATGCATGTATAATTTAAGATCTTTTGATCATGCTGTGCACCACATTATAAGATTCTGAGAGAGCTTTGTTCATTAGTCTGCACCCTCATTTGTGCTCATGATATACACTAGATATTATAGAACTCCAAATATGGTGGATATAATGTGTGTATTTCATTTTTAGCGGAAACAACCAAAAGTAAAGAAATCAGTAGAATGAGATGCTGGAGTGCCTTCTAGAGCCCTTACAGCATAAAAATACCCAGAGTTAATTTGAATACTTGAACAGAGTGTTGTATACTTTCTTAAAGGGACAGAGTAGGGAGGAGGGAATATATTCTCTCTCTTCCTGTAATTTGAAATTTCAAGGAAGTCCTTACTATTGTATAGACTTTAACCAGGAAAATGCCTCTTGAATGTAGTTTGGCTACACAGGGCTTGTGTACTTCTGAAGAGACTTAATGAAGATGAGTTGTAAATAAACTCATTGCAACATATCTCCAACACAAAGTCTAAAACGGAAGGCAGGGTAAATTTACACTAGTTAGATCAGTGGTTCTCAGACTCAAGGCACCCCTTCATAACTTTTGTGATCTGAGAAGCACCCCATTTCAACCCGTCCTGGTTTACATTAAATAAGAGTCCCCTAGCATCCCAACATGCTCTTTGGGCTGGGCGGGACTCTCTGCTCCCTGGCAGCAACTCTGGCAGAGACTGCAGGTACAGCAGGGTCTATTTGGCTTCCTCCTGCTCACCCCCTCACCCTCACCACTCCTTGCTGAAGCAGGGATTCCCCCTTTCTGATTGCCTTATATAGACACCTCTCAGCATTAGCTAGCATACCACATGCTGGCTATGGTCCATGATGTGGGAGACGGCACAAAGGCAGACAGGACAGCATTGGTCTGGGGTTTTTGGAGCTAATCAACAATTAGCTGGTAATTTCCCTCCATCCTTCCCTTCAAAAAGTTGTTGAAGAAGAGTTTGAACTAATGAGAGAGCCTTTTGTTTTCTTAATGGGCTGATAAACACTGAGTTAGGGGTGATGAACACTGTGTTACCAACTCCCTGCTAGGCTGCTGGGGGGATGGGGGGGAACTCCTCCCTAATCAGAATGTCCTGCTGGGGCCTGACCATGCCGCCCCTCAGCTCAGCACTGTGTAAGGGAAGGGAGGGGCTGCTTTAGCACCCCCTGCTTCTAGCCTGAGTTACGGCAGGCATGTGCCTGAATTTCTGGAATGAAAAGGGAATGTCTATCCACTTCCAAATTTGGTTCAAGCTTTGCAGGTTAGACTAACCTACAAAGATTGAATCAATTCAGGCCCAGGTTTTTTGAATTTCTGTCTGTAGCCTATATGCTTATCTCCTCACATCTCACTTATCTCCTCATACTTCCTGTGAGGAGACTTCAAAGGATCTCATGGTACCCCAAAGGTTTCCAGACCTTGGTTGAGAAGCAGTGTTCTAGATTAACTAAACCAGAGATGTAGAATATAAGCTTTTGTAAACATAGGGTTTATCCATCAGATGCTGAAGTTATATGCTAACTTCCCTAAGTCTTGGTTAAAAAAAAAAGATGCATTCCTGGCTAGCTTTAGGACATTTGGGACAACAGCAATTATTACTTCTGAAGTGAAAGGCATGTCTCCATTCTACATAGCTGGTTTGCAGGTTTTGCTTCCTGATATTCATACTGAGCTTTCTCATTATCCTTTTATTCACAGGGTAACTTTCTCTGATTAAACCTTTGAAAACATATCTTTTCTTCATTCCAAAGAACTTGAATTCCTTATTAATTCTCAGTTCCTATTAGATCTCATCCCCTAGTGTTATTTCAAGCTAGAAAATGTTTTCAGGATGAGAAGACGAAGGTTATAAAGAAGTTCTTGACTGAAACAGGAATTAGGCACATGATTAAAGTAAAGCAAGTACTTAAGTATTTTGCTGAATTGGGCCTTTGTGAATTTGTCTTCACACCAAAGAATTTCCTGCAGGAAATCTGGTATCTGCATTATTATCTAGCTTGTCAAGCTAAACACATTAGACCTGGGAAAGAGCATAACAGCAAACAAAAAGACTCTAGGCTAAAAGCAGCTCAGCAATGGACTATTTATAATGAACTCCCTGGTCAGGTCCAGACAAACACGGATATGTGGTATGTGGCAACACAGATCCATCTGCAGCACCACACACTGCACATGCAGACATTCCCCACACTTCTACCTTACAGCACAGTGGGGGAAGGGGGAGGAGGCGGTTGATCCCAGGAGATCCCGTGGTCAAAAAAAAATAAGCGGGGTGGCGCATATGGCAGCAGCCCCAGAGCCCTGCTCCGGCTGCTGGACAGGTTCCCAGCTGCAGGAACACAACAGCTGCACTTCCCCAAGGCCCCCCAGGACCCCAGATAAGGCTGCTGGGGCCAGCATAGTTGTTGGCCCCAGACTTCCCTACCCCACCAGAACTAGCTTGCCATGCACCAGAGAACGTGTAGCATGGGCATTCTCCGGAGCCAAGTAGCAATGGCACAGGATGTGCCGCTGCTACTTGTCCCTGGGGAAAAAAAGACAGCCATAGCCTGTCTGTCAGAGGTAGGAGGACTAACTTGGAAGTCAAAGTATTCTCAGTGGAAGGTAAGCACATGTGGGGAAAAAGAAGGCTACTGGTTACTGCCATTGTGGCCAACAGCTAACATAACTTTGAAATAAAATACAGCTCATCTACCTCCATAAACTACAAATGGTTTATTTATTGTAGGACAGAACACTGAGATATCAGAAAGGTAAAAGTTGGAGATAAACATAGCTTCCAATTCTAAAGTTTTCTTGTTCCTCTTCTCTCGTGCCCAAAATAAAACAGAGGTCTTTAACAAGAAGAAAAAATATCTCTCTGAAGTCTAGGAAGCTGCAAGTGACATAGTATTTTTACATATATTTTTAGAGCAGGTATTTAGGTGTAGAGCTTCCAGTTAGCTTAATGGTAGCCAGCTGGTTAGATCCCAGTACATGATGCTGAAATTTTACCTCATATGTATAAAGTAGTAATGCAGTAATTTACTCTTAACCCCTATCTACTAGCCAAGCACTAAGAAGGATATTTTGGAAAAATAAAATATATTCTGTTTACAATATGAACTCTATCAGAATAATGAATTTGCATAATGGAAAATGAACAAACAAAAGCAATGAGTAACATGAATCTACCTGTTACCTCCAAATGTGCATACTTGTCTTCTTTTTTCAAAATAAAAGTAAATTGTGTACTTTCCAAACTTAACTATACTTAAATTTAAGCATCATGCAGTGAAAGATATCACTTCAGATAAATTTCTCAGTAATTACAAATAATCCCTGAAATTGATACCTCAGGTTAAAGTATTTCTGCCAGCTCTTGTGCAAGGAACAGAGAGCAGGTTATAATCTCCAACAGCAGATGAAAACTCACCTTATTACAAAGTCATGGTTGTCAATCTCTTTTCCACATCCACTATCCAGGAGGATGCCAGAATTTCCAACAACTGCACATGTTTTAAACCGGCGGTTTTTCATTGGTGAGACTTCAGGAAGGAGCCTGTGCAAATCCTGAGAAATGTTTAGGGTGCGACGTCTGTCTAGCACATAGTGAATTACATCTCCTGGCTTGAAGCTGCTTTTGACTACCGAGACATCTCTTTCAGCATCTAAGAATCTAAGAATATTCTTCCTGTGGTGAAAAAAAAATCAGACATAGTTTTCATTACTTACAATAGGTTCATCTGTTAGCAAAATGGTAGGAAATATATAGCAGTGTGAGGTTTCAGATTTTTCCAGTGAATGTTTCTGCTATAACAACTATAAAGCTGTTTTTTAGGACTTTATTATAGAGCTTTGTGGGCTTGATTAAAAAAGTAAATGTGACATGCTCCCTAAAAGCACCTAATCCCTCTATATTTCTGAAAGGACGAATTGACCATGGAATTAAGATTTAGAATTACATGGCGCATAATTTTTTGAGTAATATAAACCTGTTTGTTATATTGGTTAGATTTTGAAACAGACCGCTGCATTCCATTTGATTAACAACCTGTTGTTAAAAAGATTTACAAGTTAAAGATATATTGTATTCACATATTGATGATGTGACCTATATCAAAAATCAAGGAATGAGCTAATTTGATTCTCACAACTTTGATCAACTTTTCCAGGCTAATAGTTGGACAATTGTTTCCCCCCCCAGTCTATAAAATTGAGCCTACTGATATGGATATAATTAGGAGGTAAATATAGTTTACCATGGTACCATAAAAATCCGTTATCATGGTGGAACAGAACTTTAAAAGATTTGCAGATTTTCTCTTATCATCTCACCTTTTAGTTTTAAACATCATCTTTCTATCATTACAGTTCACTGTATTTGCATATGTACATCTAACCGGTCAGCAAGGAACTCACACCCTATCTGTGGATAAGCACCCGAGTCATAGCTGCAGGCAGGTGTCCCTGTCCATTTGGGTTTCAGAGCCTAAAACTCACTCATGAAGGCAGGCATTCACAACTCTGCTTTGAAAGAACAGAGCAGGACATTGCAGAAGTGATAGTATCAGAATTCACTCTTTACAGTATAGCTTCATGGTTAGAGCACTTGCTCAGGAAGTTGCCCTGCTCAGGCTGAGAGCCCAAATCCCCATCTTCTAAGATGTGCCCTAACCACCATTCTAGAGGTAGGGGTGAGTGGGAGACACTCTCACTTCTTCTTCTGGAACTTGCTCATTAGGCAAAAGACAATAAACCATTCATGGGTTCCAGAAAACAGAGCACAAACATAACTTAGGTTTTACTGATTTAACTAGAGTTGTTTAAAACCAGACCTCAAGTTTAACTGTTATAGCTTAGTTCACATTTAAAAGTCATAGTTAAATAGGTATAAGCCCTCCTGTAGACATTCTCAAGTTAATTAAATATAAGATTTAGGCTCCTCAAGCGGGTGCAAACAAACATCCACTGGACCCAGCTCAGACTTAGGCTGCTTAGTTTAAAGTTTCCTAAACTTGAGTCAGGATCATTCACAGCTTGTGAGGAGGAGCTTCATGGGCAGTCAGAAGCAAGTAAATTGGTTTGGGGGAAAGGGCTGGTGGCATGAGGGCAGGAGAGGTGGAATTAGGGGGACTAGAGGGTCCAGGGGAAGGAGTTGTCTAGTCTAGGGGTGGAGGGAACAGCCCAGTCAGGGTCAGGGGGTTAAAACAGCACTACTTCAGGGCTGTGGAAAGTGGATGGGCTTTCCCAGGCCTTGAGCTGTGCTGGAGATGCATGCAAGCATTCATTAGGTCAAGTTAACCTGTGCTGAGAACTAACTTTAGATCAGGTGCATCATTTTTAGGGTGACATAAGCCCGTGATCCCTCACAATTGTAGGCTAAGTACAGTCAAAAAGCCTGAGGCTGAATTGATTTAATCTTCTCAGGTTAGTCTAAGCTCTGTAGATGGAATCGATAAGCAAGTGAACAAACATTCATCTTTGATTCCAGAAATACAGCCACATGCCTGCAGTGGCTCAGGCCAGAAGCTGGGAAGCACTAGAGCATGCCTCCCTGCTCAGCTGGAGCAGACAGCTTGGGCCAAGGCTGACCCATCCATCCTGCAAGGGGTGGGTTGTGAGGGAGAGGCAAAGCATCCTGGGATGCTGGGGGACTGTGAGTTAACTTGAATCTGGAGGGGATCTGGGACAAAAGTTCAATAAACTGATTTAACCTAAATCAGTGAAGTCTGATATTACATCCAGTCAGGTTTATCTTAAACCAGTTTCAGTCATTTTGGAAGCAGTTTATGTGCACAGAACTTCTATTGTGTTACAGACCTGAACCAGTTTCCAATCACTTCTACTGATTTATGTGTAATTTCTGTCCCTAGCCTTAAGTATTTAGATCACCCTGAGCTCAGTTAGGTCCATCTAACTGTAACGCTTGTACACACTCAGAGTGTTTACACTCACAGTTCATTGTATCAGTTTAAAATCAAGCTTTTCATTTGATTACACCTTTAATCTTATATTTAATTACTGCAACTGTGTATGTAGACTGGTGAAGAATTCTCCAGATAATGTAAAGCTGGGAAACAATCAAGTCCATTCTTTCTTAGAATGCATTTTTGCCAACATTACCAGCAACTAAACTCAAATCAGCAAAGCATTTAAGCTCATTCTTATATACATCTGTACTCTACAAAGTACTTAGGATTGTTAATGGGACTAGAGTACGTGTCTAAAGCTAAACACATGCATAAGTAATTTGCTGAATAGAGATGGAGTGTTGAACTGGGATGATGGCACTTACAAATGTTTTCAACATTGTTATTAAGGTCAATTGATAGAACTGAATATGTAACAAACATTTTGTTGAGTAAGATTGGGCTGCTTTTATAGTCACTTTTTAGAATAGAACTTCCTTAGAACAAAACAAAGAAAAACAACAAAAAAATGTTTATCAGAAAAGAAAGATAACTGTCCTGCCATTCTAACTGTTGTAGTACCTGCTGAGAGACAACAACGCGAAAATAATTCCCCAAAGGTGAAAAGGGAAAAAACATATAGCAACATCATGTTGACCATCCAGTTACTTTGTGTCACTGCCTCAAGATTAAGAGAATGCCAGATGCTGGCAACTTGCTATAAAGCAATGGAAATGTTGGAATTCACCTTAAAAGCCTAAGGGGAAGTGAAACATGATGAGAATATTTTTTTATGTTGTCTCTCACATTATAAACCTAACAAAAAGAAAAAGGAAAAGAAGAACATTTAAAGTTCTATTTTACAGCTCCAGTGTATGGATGAGGCATCATCAGAGCAAAGGCATCTCATGATGTAGCATGCATGAGGGACTGAGAATAATGAAGCAGAATGGAAGATATTAAAACCATAAGTGCCTAAAGCTTTTGGTAAATGGTGTAAAAGGCCAGGCAAGGTATTTTTGTAAAGCAAGATAAAGCCTGTAAGTTTAATGGACTTAAAAGCCCTGTGGGTTTGATAAGCTTACTTTTGTAGGCACCGCGTAGCAGATATATAAATGGTTAGAAAATGAAAAAGAATGAAAGAGAAGAGGGTATCTGATCAGCTTGTATTAAAAGGTGGTAAAATTATACATAACATAAGAATAGAGACATCAGGCTTGAGCTTTGTAAAGGAGGTGGCTACTAAAGCAAGAATGATCAACAGCCACAAGAGCACCAAAGGGAATCCTGTCTATCCCCTGAAGTTGTAACAGGGCTGGCTACAACAGACACCCACAAAGGTTAAGTCAGAAGTTTAGTGGGAATCTAGAATTTTGAGTGAAATATGAATAAAGAAGGGAAAGACCAATTAAATATGTAAAATACTATTTCCATAATCCAGGATGCCTATGCCTATAATTATGTGTGTTAACAAGCATGCAGTAACATTTGGTCTTGACTACAATTTCCTGCATTAAAATATTAAAACATAAAAGGGACACGGTGAAGGTGCCCAAGCAGTATGTAACTTTACATTTTATCTCAGCAAAAGCAAAATAGAGAGTACAAGACAGAAAGGACTATGGCTGGAGTTGAGACCTAAAGTTGTTTATTTAAACAAGGGCAATTTATAGACTAAGTGTACTAGCTATCTATTGATCTTTTAGATGTGTGAAGGTCTTGATATCCATGCCTCTCAGTGGAAGTCTTTCCACTACATTGAGCACCCTCTCAATTATCTGGGCTGAGATTTTCAAAAGACACCTAAAAGATTTGGAGATATAACTTCTAAATAAAGATAAGTCAAAGATGAGCAAAACTAATGAGAATAGGGGGTCCAAATCCCTTAAGCAAATTTGAAAATATTCTTCCATATGCTTAGAGGGTGGTTGTCATCTAAATTACACAAGCATATTGTCATGTAAGTTGACAAAGTCAATGGTAAATGTGCAGGTGAGCACCATATCACATGTAATCCATGTGCTAACATTTGAAACTGGTATTAGTCTTAGCATTAGTGTTTATGTGATTTCATTACATCAGACTGATCCTTTTAATACTAAAAGAAATGAGGCATAGTTAGCTCTGTTAGTCTGCAACCAGATAGAAGGTGGGGCAGGTGGCACTCCAGTAACTTACTGATACAGAGAGGCATAATCTTTCCTAGGCAACATCCTAGTTTGTCATATCCTAGGCAGATCGTTGCTAGGGCTGTGCAAAGCTTTGGTCACTGATTCAATCTGGAGATTCACCCGATTCAGCAGCTGAATCTCTGAATCAAATCAGGAGACCCTTTAATCTCTCTGAATTAAATCAGAACCCTTCAAGTTGATTCGGAGAGATTCGATGATTCAGACATAGATGCAGCTTTAAATGTTTTTTCTACATACCTCAAGGTACCAGGTGGCTTGTGAATGCTGAGATGCTGGGGCAGATGGAGTGCCCCATGGGAGTGCGGGGGGGGGGGGAAGGTGGTGCTTCCCCACCATGCTCGGCAGCAGACCCAGAAGTGGGCCAGAAACACTTGCACTCCACTTTTGGGTCAGCCACAGAGTGCACAGGGTAGCCCCTCCCATCCCCCAGCTCAGCAAATGGTGCCTCCTGGGTTTGGGGGGGGGGCATCTGGGGTTCCCCCACAACCAATCGCTGACCCATTGGGTCACGGGGGAGTGAAAGGGTCTGCCATACAGTAGGCGACAGACCCAGAAGTGGACCAGAAGTACTTCTCGTCCACTTCCGGGTC